GCGGGCGTATGCCCCCTACGGGGGCGGCGGGGGAGCCGTACCGGGCCGGCGTATGTGCCCTACAGGGGCGGCGTGTGAGCCGTACCGGGCCGGCGTATGTGCCCTACAGGGGCGCCGCGTCGAGCCGTACCGGGCCGGCGTATGTGCTCTACAGGGGCGGCGTGCGAGCCGTACCGGGCCGGCGTATGTGCCCTACAGGGGTGCCGTGTGAGCCGTACCGGGCCGGCGTGTACGCCTCTGTGGAACAGGGCTTATTAGGACAAAGAAAGATGCATTTAAACCATTAAATCATAGTAATAGACACTTGATGTGAGCCTGTTATTTTGCTGTGTCCTATCTTGAAAATTGAAATGTTTCTTTTCCTCTGCTGTCCAGTGTTTCCAAGCTGGTGCATTATAAATCAAATGCAAAAAATTGAATTGTATACACAGAAGGCAACAATGTGAGCATGTTCCCTGTACCGAATATCAGGTAGGTACCGAAAATGGTAGGTTGCTGGTGGGGAGGTTCTCACTGTCACCTCACACCCCAGGGACCATGGTTCAAGTCTCCCCCCAGGTCCTTCACGTCCCAAAAGCATGTTCCCTGTACCAAATATCAGTACAGGGAACATGCTTTTAGGGGCATTAGGTAGGTTGGGGGCACAGTGGTTCTCACTGCCACCTCAGGGACAAGAGTTCAAGTCTCTAGCCCAAATTCATTCTATCACCTGAAAACTTAGAAGTTAAATACCTCAGCATTTTAATATCAGAAGTAAGGATTATATACAGGACTATAAACTAAGTGTTACAGAAGTGAAATTTACAATGTCTACCTGCAGTGTTTCCCCATAACACAATAAAGAGGTCTTCCTTTATAATCAGGTTTTAAAATTTATTCTGTACTACAATACTTACTCTTTATAGTTAGAAAAATATTGGATTTTGATTTCATACAACATAATGGTCCTGAAGAACATCCAGTGCACTCACTGCATTATTGCCATACTTGCAAAGGTACAGTAGCAACTGTAAGAAATGACAAGACCTCTGGTACCTTTAAATCATTAAATACTAATAATAGACATTTGACAAAGTGCAACTGAGAAATGGAAACAAGCAGGATGTGATATACCAGGGGGGCTGGTGACATGGCACTTAAAAACCACTGAGGAGTCAGTGGATGACAGGGTCAGAACCAAATCCAGTGGATGGCCTGGTTCTGCTGGAGAGCCCACAAAGGACAGGAATTTAAATGTGGCTGATTTCCCCCCATTGTTCAGAATGAATACACATTCTCCACATTTTTAAAGTCAAACTGCTGCTTAAGGAGAATAATTTTTAAAAAGCCTCACGTACACACACCTGTGCAAATCCTGCAGTGTCCCCATCTGAGGATTTAACAGCTAATGTAGGCTGCTGGCAGTCAGTCTGTACAGTGAGAGTGCAAATCAGGCTGCTGGATAGCAGGTGCCGGCACCACTGCAAGGTGCAGCTGGAAGACTTGGGCGCTGCACTGGCACAGTGAGGCCTGTGGGGAGCGCTGCGGGGCAGGGAAGCCAGGTTGGAAAATCAGAACGACTCCCCTGGGCCAGCAGAAGCTAGGGGTGTCACACTGCCTTCCTGGGATCGTACAGGGTGACGCTCTGACAACATCAACCTGCCACCACCTGCCCTCTAATGCCCAGGGACAACCCCAAATAAACGATGGTCATCATCATCATCATCATCATCCCATCTGGAGACAGGGCACAGATTTTCAGTGGATGGTAAAACCCTTTAGCTATCAAATAAGAAGCAGATCAAAATAATAATAAAAAAAAAATTATATATCTATATATTAAAAACAAAACAAACATACATCGATAATGATTAGGCTTTATCTCCCCCCTTTTTAAAACTGTGGCCATTTTTATTAGGACTGCAGTTATCCTAAGAGCCAGCTGTTTGTGCAGTGATCTCCTTTTGCGGACCCCCATGCACCACGCCTGTACCCCTGCGGAACTACCTGTCCACTTAAAGCAGGATTCCTGAGCTTATGAAAAAACACTTCATCCCACCAAGCGAGGAATCCCCAATGCACACAGGATCCTTAGACATATACACATGTACGTGTGAGATCAGGCATGTACAACACACACACACACACACACGTATGAGAATTCACACTTGCGTGTGTGGAACCCGACCTTTAACTGGGCACGCGTATGTGGAACCCGACCTTTAACTGGGCACGCGCATGTGGAACCCGACCTTGAACTGGGCACGCGCATGTGGAACGCCCTCTTGTGGAGACACTGCTGCTTCTGAAAGCCTCCACGTCGGGATCTCTGTCGTCAGCTGCGCCTCTCACACTATTATGTGTGGGGGGCAACTGGATCAGGGGCACAGATACTCCGTTGCAACTTACAGGTATGTTACAGTAGGTGTGGGGACGGGAGGGGGGGGGGGAGACAGACTGGCAAGACCCTTCACTCCCCACCACAAGGATAATAAAAATGATCCCACCGGTTACACCCCTCTCTCATATGTGCACTAGGACAAAACAAACAGGATGGGAAGAACGTTGGTTCCTAGCAGCTGAGTAGTCAAACAGGCCTCCGGGGGGGGGACCTCACCCAGGCTGTCCAATGTCTGTCTGGTGGCCCCCGCTGGTCTCACTGAGATGAGGATGCTGCCCCAGTTACAGAGAACCTGGAAGGATTTTATTATTCATGATGATATTATTATTATTATTATTTTATTATTATTATTATTATTAAAAATATTTTAACATTAAATAACTGCAAAAAGACAACAGCATCAGCAGCTTACCACACAAACATGGCACACTGACTAGTGCAGCTACAGGTGGTGAGCTGATCGGGCCCAGCTGGTGCCCCATCGTCATTTTACACAAATGCTTCAAAACATCTATATATGAACGCCAGCCTTTGCGATCTGGGACTGAGAGGCTCCTTCCATTCCAAATGATCACAAGATGAACACGAGGTAGAGAGAGAGCCAGATGATGGTGGAAGGAGGCCTTTCTACTGCACACCAAACCCATGCCTGGACGTGTAAGAGGTCAGCTGCGATTACAGGCTCTACCTACAGCCCGCTGCAGCTTTACGTCAAGCATGACAGACAGAGGAGACCTTCTGCATCATGCACACCAGTGTCTGTCTTGTCATGAATGTTGTACCGTGGGTTCAGGAAGGAGGTTATTTTGCACATGGCTGAGGTGAACATAAAGCTTTACTTGACTTGATTTGACTTGGGTGACACTGGCGAGGATTCCAGTGTCTCCAGGGCCGGGCTCACCTCTGAAGTCTCTGCACCAGCTGGGACACCATGCTGTCCAAAATGCCAGGGCAGGACTCCTCGGCGAGGAAGACGGCATCCCTCAGCTCGTCCACGGCGCCCAACGTCCGGCCGACCGCTGCGCTGCTCTGCTTCAGCTGCGACACAGACACACGTCGCTCTCTCAGGTCTGGGTTCATCCACAGCCCCGCGGCTGGGCGTAAGAAGGGCACAGCTGCCCTCTCCTACCTCCTCAAACAGTGGAGTCACTATCGCGGACAAACTCTCTGATAAGGGCCTCCTTGGAGCGTCTTCCACCTTTGGGCCAGGCAGGGAGAAAACACAAAAACAGAGAGATAAACAAACAAACAGGTGCAGAAGGCGCAGGTGTCAGAGTTGTGGATGAGGGAGTGAGCACCCTGAATGTGTGGCCAGTCAGCAAGAGATGGCTGCCCCCTGCAGGACAGGCAGGCTCCCAGGCCGACGGCACACACTGCACCATGCATCTACAAACACCCCGCTGCAGTTTCAAAAGCCCGAGAGGCTTAGAACGCAGTATGTCTCCGTTTGCAGTTAACACTGCGCATCCGGCTGGGCCTCGAGTCGGGCTGTCGAGTTGATGGTTCTGTGGAAACCTGTCAGAGCCACCAGACTGCGAAGAGGAACACTCAGCACTCTCGTATCCTGTTGTGAGGGGTGTTGCCCGGAGTTACCACTTCCTGAACGCATGAATGCAAACCGAGCGATCAACGGAAATAATCGAGCCTCCTGTCTTCTGAAACTGCATGATGCAACACAGGAAAGGAGCCCAAAAACTTAAAGGAGTCACTAAATAAAAAGCGGACATTCCGTGTGGCAGACGTCAGAGAAACCGTGAAAGACACTGCATCTCTCATCATGACGGAGCTGAACACGACGCACTGCATTAAAATACTGATGACTGGCCTGATTTGCATGGTACTTTCTAGAAACCAACAAAGATGCTTGTCAGATACAAACAGCAGGATATCACCCTGGAAAATCCAGTGCTTTGGGGGATGTGAAATCCGACCTTTGACATAATATGGCAAGTTTTTAAAGTGGAGCCTAAACTGGATCAAGTTGCTCAGGAATTGTTTCATAATTGGAAAATTGAGGATGAACTATTCTAATTAAAGATCTCATTAATGCCTGACCTTGCGCATCACAACCTTTTCCCGAGTCCTTCAGCACCCACTGCCTGTACTTCCTGTCGCCTACACGTTGTGGATAAAGCGCTGGGGCACTCCCACAGGAAGCGGGCCCCTTACCCGGGTCTCCTGCAGCTCCTCAGACTGGGCCATCCCGTTATGCAGCCGCTTGGGATCCTTCTCTCGGATGGTGTTGAAGATCCAGTCGTCGCCGGCCAATCCGTCGCTGCCCAAGGCCTGGCCATCCTGCTCCCTGGAGACGAGAAACGGCACCATCAGCGGAGTTTATGTGGGAAGCACACAGTATGCAGAGCGGTGCCATGCGGGTGTACGGCAGGGGTTTGGGAGAACAGCCTCAAACACTGCTGACCTTCAATTTGGAGGCGGGTTTTCCTGGATTAGTGGGCCAAGGCTTTAGATTAAAGGTTTAAGTTCATCACCCAAACACAGTGCTACCAAATACTATTTTCTTCTGCTTTCAAACAAACGGGCTTCTTTGTTTGCCAAGTTTCTTCCTCGGATGTTACTGAAACGTAAAAGTGACAATGACCAAAACCCAAAGCTCACGGCAAGGAGGTGGCATACGAGACTTACGAGTCAGACTCCTCCGAGCTGGACTCGTCCTGGGACCGCTCCGCCTTCCACCGCTTGTACTTGTCGACGAGCTCGGACAGGTAGGACGTCTTCTTGGCATATCTCACAATCAGCTTGTGCTTCAGGAGTTCTTTGGCTGTGGGTCTCTGGGGGGTAAGATTAGTGACGGTTACAGACCAGTCTGGTCAGGGCAGCTCTGTTCCCCTTATTACCCCCATACTTCCAGAACCTTCCAGCCGATTACCACCTGGCTTGGAGATACCTTTGATACAGCTGGAAGGTCGATCACCTTCTCGTGGTGTGCCGTCGACAGCCCTGACTGAGTGGTGGAAGGGGCAGTAAGATGCACTCACAAAGCTGGGCTCCTTGTTCAAACAGGCCTCCACAAACTCCTTGAACGGCTTGCTGTAGTTCCCCTCCAGCGTGGGTGGGTTGTTCTTTGGGATGAGGAACAGCACCTTCATGGGGTGCAGTTCGGAGTGTGGCGGCTCGCCCTTGGCCAGTTCGATGGCCGTGATCCCTAAGGACCAAATGTCTGCCTGCGGCAGAGTGAGGCAGGGATGATTCAGCAGGGATGATTCAGCAGGGATGGCTGATGCAAGGGGCCTGTGGCTTCACAGCCACAAAGTCCTCCTACACGACCCACGGCCATTTCAGTGCAAACGTGTTGAGTGTCACGACCCTGGAGAGCCGCTACTTACTTTGGAATCGTACGCAGACTGCTTGATGACCTCCGGCGCCATCCAGAATGGGGTGCCCACAAATGTGTTCCTCTTGATCTGCGTGTCTGTCAGCTGACCCGCCACACCGAAGTCCGCCAGCTTCACGTCCCCTTGCTCGGAGAGCAGGACATTGGCAGCTACGGAACAGCCCGGAGCAGGGCAGGTCAGAGGCTGCTGCAGAATTAAGACTACTACGGTTAAAGCATACCAGAAATGCACAGCCTACACAATCCCCCAAGATACACTCTGGATGGTACCTTTAATATCTCTGTGGATTTTCTTTTCTGAGTGCAGGTAGTCCAGTCCCTTGAGTATCTCCCGTAGGATTGTGGCTATCTGTGTCTCATCCAAGGCTCCAGGCTCAAGCTGAAAGTGCAGACAAGTTCACACCAACAATTTAACACACACTGGTTTGAAAATGAACAATTAAAAAAACCTGCTAGCCTTTAAATCGCATGACCCCTGGGATGGCCCATTTTACATTGTACCTGCGAGGGAACAGAAAGCACACTCACCAAGTCCAGAGCTGATCCCCCACCTAAATATTCCATGATAATCCATAATTTTGTGTCCTGAAACAGTGAAGAACATGAACAAGATTGGAGGATGACACCAGGAGGATTTCAACATGTGCAGAGCAGACGGGGGCAGACCTACTATTTGCAAAGCTGCATCCTGTTTTGAATGTTGTTTAATGTGTGCATCTGATTCACAACTATAGTTCTGTTACAGATCAAATCAGGACACTAAAATAGATGAACAATGTCAGCAACTCCACTGCTGCACTATATGCAGAAAACTGTGCTCCAGGCTCTGCAGCTCTTCGCAGAAGTGACAGACCGACACACCGGCCTACCAGACTGCATGTTTGGGATCCTACTGGATACCCAAGCCCAAGCGGGGCCACATGCAGAGCCAAATCTACAAGCACGGGGAGGACAGCTAGAGGCTGCGGAGAACCAGTTGTTAACGGAACTGTGACTGTGTGTTATAACAGCGGTGAAAAGGAGACTTTTGGCCAACTTCAAGAGCAATGATAGACGACCTCCCAAGAAGACACTCGCTGCTGATGCCTAAAGGATGCTGTATCTCCGGGGGCTGGAAAGCACCTGACAAGCCAGCAACATACACCTCAGGCACCAGCGCAGGAAAAGCGGTGCGGATGACAGTTATACTCATGTCACACTGCATCAGTGTGAGAGACACCAGACACGACTGGTTGCAAAGAGGCATTTTGCTCAAAACTTGTATTGTGTTTACACTAACCAGATGAAAGCAACACCTTCCACTGAGATCTTAGGCTTTCATCTTCTTTATTTCCTTAATTAAAGGAAACCTACAGTACAAAGGGCAGGCCTGCTTCATTAGACTGCTACATCTCCTGTTCCTCCCACAAGAAGAGCACATGGGTTTAGCCTGCTACTGAAAAGGCAAGCCCTCAGGAGAACATTCTCCTTCCTAAAAACGAATTGGCCTTATTCGTAAGACATGGTGACCAGTTCCATCTGTATTCTCCTCGAACACCAAGGACTTGGGGTGTGCAGATTTATACCCCAGCAATTCAGGGCCAAATTCAGGTACTCCGCTATTCTGCAATTCACGTACTCCGGCATGCACGATACAGAGAACAGAGAACTGTAAATGTGTGACCGTGTAGAGACAAAAATGACAAGCTGTTATATAAATAAGATAAATAACATAAGGTTATTTAGTTTGTTTAAAAAAAGGACAATGTATAGACCTGTTCTATAGGAAAGGTAACAAATGATGTCTGTTGTCATCTGGCGCTATATAGAAAACTAAATAAAATTAAATTAACTTGACCTTCAAGGGGGGGCGGGAGGTGCTGTTGGGGGGGGCGCCCCCCTAATATAATGGTAGGGGAAACACAGACAGTATTTGCATTTGCTCGGGAAAAAAACACAGTTTAGCTACATAACATATGCACATTAATAGTAACATACAAACACTAACAAGAATTTCTTCCGTTCTCCAAAAATTTACTGACTTCTTGCTGGATGGCTAGAAGATAGATTGGAGGGTCGTGACTTTAGGAGAGGTTTTGAAATGCTAACACTTTGCCAGACACATCATCATAGTTTTACTCGAACATGAACATCATTTAATCACAATCGTCTTTGACTGCCTTAGACTTTTGCACAGTACTGCAGAAGGTCCATTTATTTGGTGTGGAGACCATGAACGTATTCAAACTCATCTCAGAGGATGGGTTCAGGTCCTGCGTGTCTGCAGTGCCCTTGGAGAAGCAGATGAGCATCACAGAGACCTGACCTGGAGGGTGCATCTCGGGTGGAAAGGGTGCTGACCTTTAGATATGATCCATAGTACTTGGTTACAAAAGGACTGTCACATTGGCTCAGCACCGTGATCTCCTGCTGAATGTCTTCTATTTCATCCTCAGCCTCCTCAAGGTCGATGATTTTAATAGCCACAACTTTCTGAGTTCGATTGTCGATGCCTTTGAAGACTTCCCCAAATGAGCCCTTTCCAATCTTCTCCAGTTTAGTAAACAGCTGTTCAGGATCTGCTTTTAGGTTCTGTGGGAACAGGATGAATGGGGGGGGAAAGGTTATAACCACCAAGAGTGCAGAAAAGTACTACTTTCTAATGAGACAAATGTATTCTACAAAGCAAAAGACTGAATTATTACCGTGGTCATGTGGCAGGTAAAAATTTAGCAGTACACAAAAATTGCCTTTAACGCTAGGTCTCGGAGAGCAAAGCACTGTGGGAATGTTGCCTGAAGTCGTGAGCTCATGGCAATGGAGCATAATCTAGTGCAGGTTCGCCTAAAATTTGACCCCCTTTAACCAGGGGTGGAAATTTTGGCTACAATAACTGATGTCTTTGTTGAATATCACCTATTATGATAACCAAAACTAATAACCGGGTAAAACTCGAGTTCCACAAATCTGTAGTGAAACAGAAGTCAATGACATTATTTAAGGTCCCGTGAATATGTATAGCAACCACACTATATAAGACAGGCAGCGAGATATCAGAGAAACAGCACCGGCTGAAGCGAGGCTCCAGGAGGGGAACGAGCTGCTAACATCCCTCATGCCCCAGTACGGAAAAAGCCTGATCATTTAACGCAATCATCTCCATTATTTCGGGAGTTACATCTTTAGCCCTGCTGCTACTTACTCTGAATATTGACTGTTTAACTCTAAATATCAGTTTGTTAAAAATATTTTATTTTTAACAAACATCAGCAGATATTGATACTGAAACTAATGTATCATGTTCACTGTTTGATAAAATATAAAAATATATAAAAAATATTAAAAAGTCTCTGAAGCCCTTACAGTAACTATTACAGTAACTAACTACTACAGACCTCTACTATCCAGCCAACTAAGATCTTGATTAGCATAACAAAATCCAAAATTGCACATTAACTTTAATACATAAAGACATTACCAAATAATGCTCATATAAAGCATATACATTACCTTTTCCTACAACATCTATGGAAATAGATTCTCAAAAGACATGAATTAAATACTCCCAGCTCAAGAGTTTACCTAAAGACCTTGCAAAGGCAAGCACTGCACAGCCCTGCAAGGCTTGGGGGAGCAGTTTTGTCAATTTCATGCTACATAACTAATTAATTAAAAGTTCCCTAAAATTAGCACACGCCTACGAGTTCAAGCCTGATTATCCGCATAAGGAGAGCACCTAAGATTCTCAGCACGCCGCAAGGAACACTGCAGAAAACTCAACCAACCTGACTCTGCTGCAATAAGTAAACAATTAACAGGAAACCATGTTGTGAGTTTTAATCTGGGCCGAGTTAGGACATTGTGTGCAGCCGTATTTTTAACATTTCTAGTTTATAAACTAACACTTGCTTGCGGAGAGCCTGACGTCCAAAAACCACAGGAATCCCCCACTGCCAGGACCTTGAGGGCCACCATCTAAAAGCACAATGCAGAGGGAGGCAGACACGGCCTAGAGCTTGACAGGGAGTCTGTCCTTCACAGGGTGCCACTGTGCCCCAGTTACCACAGAAACTATCCACGACCCCCTGCAGGAGACAAGCAGCACAGCGGAATCAAAGTTGACACACAACCCCCCAGTCACACATAAATGCGAAGTCTTGGTGATATGTTTAGCTAGACACATTCCAGCCAGACTGGAATAAACAAGCAGATTCATAAATAGCTCAGTATGGAAACACACATGTACCACTTCTCCCACAGCTGAAATACGCATTTAAGAGCATTAATGCCACACAAACATCCTGCTAATTTTCTCACGCTACACAAGTATAATATGAATGAAGTTTAAACCTTCAGTTTAATCTCCAACTAAGAATCTGACACACAAGCCTGCACACCGGTATGTGACGCGTGGGAGGGATTTGCCAGGTTAGATCTCAGGCTCCTTGATGAGGTGCCTCGAGCCAGAATGCTGCTGAAAGGCGTCTACGCAACGTGAAGCAGGTTAAGGGCTTTTGAGGGGCCACTATGGGCTGGAAGGTCCACAGCAGAGATGGGAGAGAAGCCAGCACCTTGGGAAAGCCGTGTTCTCTCACACGCCCGCACCACTGAGTACAGCTATTCCAGCACCACAAAAGTCCTGCACACTCTCTCATGTATGGGGGACTGTGGACAGTAGGGGGAGGCTGTCAATAAACAAAGGGGGGGGGGGGTTGATTTCCTTTCCCAAACAAGAAGAGAACATACACACTGCGAACAAGCAGAGCTGGACCGGGTGACAAGACTACGCCGGCAACAGAACTGCAATACCGCCCACATGTGCTCATTCCAAGGATAAAGTTCACTGTTAAAATTTGACCATTTTACCCACGGCAAATCAAATACTCAGAAACAACGAGAATTAACTGAGGTTAAAAAATAACAATAAAAAAGAGGCTGATTGTGAGAAAAGCAGCTTAATGACAGACTGGTCTGTTGAAGAATAACTGAATCCTCCAAATCAAACTCAGCGTTTCACTTCTTTAACAAGAATAACATTGGCGAGCGACAATATCTCACTTCAGGGAAACATCAGCCCTCTACCTGTTCAACAGGATGCCTATAAGTGACCTTTTATCAGAATACAAAAAAAAAAAACAAAAAAAAACCCTTCATAACCTTGTAAAGCATTTCAAACCATCAGTGTCCACCACAAGCCACCTCAGTCTTCTTCCAAGTCGTCTCATAAAGGATCATTCACAAACAGATGTCCAAGATGTGGAACAGAGAGGAGCACCATTTTTCTTTTTCAAAGTGAAGTACTTACTCATACAAATGTTGTTAGCTGATCCTGAGAGTTGAACTGGAAACCTTAAATGGGCATGTTGAACCATCCTGCTGTTGCAGCCCATAATACTTTCATTTGTAAGCATATAAATTGCACCAAAAGACCACACTTCTGACAAATATGAGAACATTAGTAAAATCTGGAAGTAGAAGTCTAAAATGCCATAACACAGATTCCAGAAAATAAAATTAACATTTTCTCCAAACATGCACATTAACAGTTCTAGTGTTCCAATTATGTAGAACCACGTTGTGTTTTACAAGGAAAACCATGTGCAGTCCTTTAGATATCCCCAAGAATATTATTTCCATATTTAGCACATTTCACTCTGAATAAGAACACCAATTCATCAGACAAACATCACTGACTAAGCATGCATCAAGTAAGTATGTTGTTCTAGTTGCACTTGATGTCGCAAGCATTAACTACACTGCCAACGACAGCTCAGAGCATGCTGGGATATGCACTGCAGCGTTGGTTCCCTTCAGAGAAAACAAGCCAGCTGCTGGCTCCTATGTGAGTGACAAAAGCATTAAATAACCAGCCAGCTATGATAACCCTAATAGACACCTTATTTCCAAATTACATTAATTAGCAGGAAAACTGTTTGACAACTTCCTTTTGATAAGTAAACCTTCCTGACCCCAAACTTATCTAGTGGACCCTTGGAGACAAGTCCTTTGTTAAGAAGCCAAAATAAAAAATACCCAACAATGGCACCAAAACCAAAAATGCAGTCAGACATATCTGAGGAGTGACACGGGAAAGATTACAGTAGTGTACCTGTATTCCTAGATAAGACAGATTTACAGCACATGCAACAGAACATTCAACAAGGCCCTAATGATTATTAAGCCCTGTGAGGCCTATGCTGTAAGACGAGAGTCAAGTAAAACCCTTTAAGATATCAGAATCAAATCCTGGTGTGTTTGGTGTGCGAGACATGCTGAGGCATTCCCAGACGACATCCCCGAGAAAGAACGCTCATCAGCGCCAGTTAGCAGCAGAAAAGGGGGCGCCGCTACAAATTGGGGGGCCAAAGATTTTCATAGGGCGGCACAAAAACAAAATTATAATCATTATTATTAAGCTCAGTTTGTTCAGTTAACTGTTCAACAGTTAGCTAAATAAAATCTGTACAGCCATATCCATGCCTGGCTACCTCCTGGGGGCGCTCTTGGGCACAGACTGCCACAGCAATAGGAGGGCTCATCTGCAGAGGGCAGTCCCTGACCGACCATCCCACACTGACCCATGTGTAGTTGTCCTCCTCATACTGTGAACCAAGTAGGCCATCTCATTCTGCTGCCTAACCTGACCATGCTGCCCATCTCACACATGTCCTGGCATCAAGACAGCAGGAGAAACAAACAAACATATTAGCGAGATGTCAGCGGGAAGGTACAGGAGCCGGACAAATGGCTCTCAGTGAAACAGCCAAAACACCCAGCATTTACCTGTACAGTGGTAAGCTGCATCAGATACAAACACACCAATGATTAAGCCAGAAGTGTGTTACTTCCATGACTGTAAGAAAAACCATAACGCGATATTCCACTTGTATCAGTCCATATAATACACATACATGGCTGCCTAAATGATCTCACAAAGACGTGGGACAATTCAAATTATTAAATTCCACCGCCAGAGGGTCAGTGGCGTGGGAACGGGGACATGGCCGGGTGGGTCTGAGTGGACGGGACTGCTCCCTTTCACGGAAGCCCGGCGCGCAGCCTAACACTTCCCGGGACAAGACTACCGGCCTAAATGCACGTACTCAAAAGCACTGTTCGGATTGCAGCTAACAGTTAGTTGGTCGGTTGGTTAACTAATCCTCCATCCCCCACCTATACTGTTTGCAAGCATGTAACAAAAGTGCAGGAGATCAGACATGAGTTAACAAGCCCTTTTAAACACAGAGAAACTGCTGAATCGCGCGTGTGATGCTGCAGCGCATGTGGCCGCGGACCGTCGGGCTCGCTACGGTCACCGCACGCCGCCAACCCGCCATCCCACCGGCAACTGGCGCCCGACCCCCGCCGAACAGGCCGGAGGCAGGAGCGGGCGCTATAAGGCTATAATAAAGTCCCATGGCGGGCTGGGGGAGCGGAGCAGAGGGACAATGCGCCTTACCTGCATCCCCGGGAGGCCGCCCTGCACCGGGGAGAGAGCCATGGCCACCTGAGCAAAGTCCCAAAATAAAAAGAAAAGCAAAAATCGCCCACAAACCACGGACCCCCCGCCGGGTCCCGTGGCGTTCGCTTGGATGTCCAGTCCTGTTACTCCGTCAAAGCAAAAAAAAAAAAAATAGCGGCTCTATTATAAATGAATTCGATCCGACAGAGAGAGAGAGAGAGAGAGAGAGAGAGAGAGAGAGAGAGAGAGGCAGCCGGTAAGAACAGCGCGTCCCGAGCGTCTCCCTCTGGATTCGGACCAAGGCGCAGATGCGCTGCAAAACGACAGGAGGGCAAAAAAAGAAAGAGGGGAAACAAGGGAAATTAACAGCGGGGAGTAGCCGGCTGTCGGCTATGCGGGGACGGAATTTGCCGGAGTTGTGAAGTTTCGCAGCATTTTGTTCCAGTTTTTCTCCCCTCTTGATGAACTGAGACGGGCTCTTCGCTCTGCTCCAGGACAGCCGCTCAGCGCCGACGCTTGGCCGTGAAACCCAGCCGCAGACCGTTGCGCATCTGCTCTGCGATGCCCGCAAGCCCGGACCGCCCGGCAGCAGGCGGCATGCGGCACGGAGGAGGTCCTGTCCTCTTCTTGCTGTTTTTTGTGAGCTATAATGTGGCGCCGTCCTCCTCACTTCGCTGCCGTGCCCTCCGCCATCTTGTCAGGGCTGTCACTCCGACATCGGGGCGGATCCAGTCCAATAGCGCCGAGGAAACTGCAGGGGGCATAGAACCCACAGGGGCCCCCGTTTAAGGCCCGAGTGGCGCACATGGGGCCACAGAGTACATGGATTAACCTTTAGCTCAGGGGTCACCAACATGTTGCCTGCGGGCACCCGGAAGCCCACAAGGACCACACAGTCGCCCACGGACCTGTTCTAAAAATAGCGCAACTCACCAGTGAGCAGCGTCTAAAATTTAATTTTATCTTGTTGCTATTCTTCTTTACTATAGATACAAAATCTGATATTGTATCTATAGTAAAACAGTCAACATATTGTACAGGCGAGAAATTAAATTACTATTATTTATTAAACAGCACATCCTTTGTGCTTACAACTAACTGTTGTAAAATATTATTCTTCAAAGGAACACACATTTCATAAATTTTTTTTTTAGTTGAAGCAACTCTTCTGGCTTTCAACCTTGAACAGTAACGCTCTCTGGAGGTGAACTAGCAGAAACATAATTGGCTTAGCTGGCAGTAGCCAAATCTCATAAGAGGCGAGCGGCTCCTTTCTGTGGCCACCAGACTAAATGCCTAAGCGGGACCTTTCAAAATAACCATGGTCAATAAGTAAATAATGCAGTACTTCACTGAGATGGGTACTAGTGCGGTGTATCACTGAGATGGGCATTAGTGCGGTGCATCACTGAGATGGGCATTAGTGCGGTACTTCACTGAGATGGGCATTGATGCGGTGCATCACTGAGATGGGCATTGGTGCGGTGCATCACTGAGATGGGCATTGGTGCGGTGCATCACTGAGATGGGCATTG